AATTTACCCTTTTCAACTTTTAAAATTACAAACTTAGTCTACACATTTTTTATTCTTTTTTTATATTTTATAAATCAATTATATAAACACTACAAATAATAATAAAAAAAACTACAGTATTTTATTTTCTTTACAAATATAGGATATGTAATTCTCATATTGTGGTGTATTACATTTGAATTTGAATGCCATTTGGGTTATGCTATTTTTAAAAATAAAGTTTATTATATTCGTAAACAAAAATTTAATTAATGGTTTAATACGATATTAGAGTTCAAATCTTCTTTCTATTTTATATTCATAAATCACGTGTTGAGCTTTGTGCTAATATTTAAATTTACGTAACCGAGAAACAATATTATAAATTTTGAAAAGATTGTAACTATCCGAGGAACATAATAGTATCTTCTTGTATTTAATCATAATAATAATAATAAAAAATATATTATATAGAATAAAGGTGAAAAATACCAGAATTAGAATTAAATATTGATGATTGGATAATGAGAAAGTAATTAATTTGGGTATTATGTAGTAATTATGAACCACATGAAAAAGGCAAAGTAAAATGATTGTGAAATAAATAAGGAGTGGACAATAATTATATAATTAGGCGATTAACCAATAATTAAATAATGTTTCGAAGTGTTTGGAATCAAATCTTGCATGTTAATCAAGACCCCATCTAGAAATTAATGCTGAATCAACCCTTAATCATCACTCTCACTCACATAATTATAGATTAAATCAAACACTCCATTTTCTTTATTTAAAAATTACATTAATATCTTCAAATCTGAATTGTTTATTTATTTAACTTTGAAGCCAATTTTCTTTCACTTAATCTTGTTTTCCAAGGTTTAATGAGAGTGGTCCCAAACTTAATTTTAATGCCAAACCCTAACTTCATATATATATATATATATAAAATAATAATAATTAAGATTCAGCATATCTACTTAAGTTTAATAACTTCACATTCCCAAATAATTTTGTTCCCAATTTTTTAATAATTCAAACCCATTTTCCATTCGTCCCGATAAATATTAAAATGCGACATGACCCATGTTTAGAAAATTCGATATTATAGTTAAAGTATTGATATAATTAAATTTACGAGCTTAAATTTTAAAATTGATTGGTAATTTAATATGATATCATAATGGAATGTTTTATTCCCTTTTATTTCTTCTTCACTTCATCAACAATTTCGATTAAATAAATCGTATGATTTCATTTTTTTTACTTTCCAACGCACAAATACATATATGTTACATATACACATATACATATATATATATATAATATGGTAGGCAAATTTAATCTTATAAGCCAACATGGTATGAGGAGAAATTAATATATGTCACAATGAACCAATGATTTAAAAAAAAAAAAAAAAAAAAAGTTATTCCATGACACTCTTTAATATTGTCTTTATAATATATTATACATTAAAAATTGATAATGAAGGAGGACAATCCCTCGGGGGCTACAAAATCAGATTTGTAGGATCTTTGTCATCTAATACACCATTTGGCATTAGGGTTCCCTAATAATCATTAACAACACACACCCCTTACAGCTGGATTATCTTTTTCTCCCATTAATTTTACGTTATAAATTTAACATTATACACTTCATTGGCTTCAAAAAACGTCCCATCATTTTTTGTCCCTTTTTTCAGTTTTAAAATTGTTTATAATATTGATTAGGAGGAGTAATTATAAATTTTATTTTTTCAAACTTGTTATGATAATTATTTTACAAGTTATAATAAAAAATAATGTTGACTAAAATAAATAAGTGAAAGTTCTTAAATCATGCAATTAAGATAAAATGAATATGTTTGAAAATAATGAAAGGGGAATTCAAAAGAATCAAAACTCTGTCGTAATAAACATAAAATAAAGAGAGAGTATGAGGGAATATGTTTTTGGTAGGATGACGTGGCACATGGGAAAAATAAGAGCTTACATTAACATACAATTAAATAAATCAGGAAAATCTAAGACGATCGCTTTCAAGTTGTAGTCAAGAAAGTCGGAAAAATGCGTATTAAAATGGAAAATAAAATAAAATAATTAATTAAGAAAAAGAAGAAAGAAACGAGATGAAGTTTGCAAGGAATATATAATATTAAAAGTTAAAATTATATTATTAATGCACTCAAAATCTTAACGCAATCTCATCCAGCTAGGCATCATTCGTTTTTATTTATTTGTTCGTTTTCAAAATCTGGCTTAAAGGATTCCAGTTTTCAGATCCCTGGCCCTCTTGATTCCTTGCCTAATCCTCTTCTTCTTCTTCTTCTTCTTCTTCGGTTCAAGAAGCTGTTGTCAATGGGGAGTGGTTATTATGGGGAGCTGACTTTGGGGAATGAACGAGGGACTGGGTCGTCGTCGTCGTCGTCGTCATCTTCGTCGAGACGAGGGAAGAAGGGTGGCTCTGATAAGCAGCAGCCAAGGCAGCCCCAGAGAGGACTTGGAGTTGCTCAGCTTGAGAAGATCAGATTGCATGGCGAAATTGCTTCTGCTGCCTTTCATCCCACTTCTTACCCTTTCAATAACGTAACTCTCTCACTTTTTGAGTTCTTTTTCAATTCATCAGTTAGAGATATATTTAAGTTGACTTTAATTATTATTTCAGGAACCTGAGCTGACGAATGTCCATGGATATTCACCGGTGGCGACTTCTTCCTCGCCGTCTTATGGCTTCCCCTCGAATGTTATGGTAAGTAATTTAACTATGGGGGTTAGTTGATTATCTTATAGGTTTAAAAACCCTAGAGCAAGATCCCAAACTATTTACCAATTTTTTCATTTTCCCTCCAAAAATTATGGAGAAATTACATTAAAATGTAATAAAAATGGGATCTTTAACTGTTAATGCAGATGGGGTTTGGAGAATGTGAAGGAAGGAGGGTGAGAGATGGTGATTCTCAGCATAGCACAGCAGCAAGGTCATTATATACACTTAATTAAACAACATTTTAATTTAATTACAAAAGTTTAAGGTATGAACAAATTTGAAATAATGTAAGAAGATTTGATTGGTGGGGAACAGATGGGATCCAAGTAATGGTGGCATCTTAGAAACCCAACATTTTGCACACTCAAACATGACATCTCATCTTCAAAACCCTCAAGCAGAGGTACTGTGAGCTCCATATTATGGTCTGCCTTTCCTTTATCTTGTTGTGATTTAGAGTATGATAGTGATGATTATGTGCAGTGGGCGGCACAGAGCAGAAGGCAAGAAATGGGTGAAAATTGTGAAGCATGTGAGAGCCAAGAACTGGACTTGGAACTCAGACTCTCGATAATCTAAACCCCTTGAGAGCATTTTCCCTATTTCCTTTTATACCTCTCATGAGATTATTGTTGTATGTATGTTTGTGCATAGACTATATTTTTCATACACATGATGTTTGTTGAATGCCCATGAATCTTTTTGTTACATTCTCGGAACTATGAATCAAATTATACAACATATTAAGATATACGCGTCCACATAACGAGCCAGCAACCTCAAGTTGGTTCTATACATCTCCGGGTAATTTTTCATTGTTTCTTACTGTAACTAAACTTTGTCCTGCCATTTTAATAGAAAACTATTTATTCTTGTTACATTTGGTTGCGAACTAACATAAAATATGCACTTTCAATTACGAGATTAGATGATGTTTGAATCGAATGGGAGAAAAATAGGTGAGATCTCAACCTAAAGAAATAGAGATCGAAAAGAACATACACACATCTTCATCATGGCAGAGCTTTGAGGTTTGAGGGAGAAAAGTAGAAGGCCTTCTCCTTCAATTAGGGTATTGCCTTTATATAGAAGGCAGACTTTCCAACCTTCAAGAAACAACTCACCTTCTTCAAACACATTACTTTAATAAAATTATGCCCAACTAACAGATTCCATAAATCATCTGTGACCTAAGGATTTTTTTATGCTCTATTGTCCCAAAATTTGATTTTTTTTTTTTTTTTTTTAAATTACGGGGTAGGGAATGGCATCCCCGTTCCCTCTTCCATTTAAATTACGAGGAGATTACTGTTATTGTCTTTTTTGTCTCCATTCCCTATTACTGTTAAGTTAATGGACATCTCTAATTATAAGCACGACCGCTAATGATTAAAAATAAAGATTTAAGTTTGTGAATTGTTATGAGAAAACAAAAAATATATGGTGCACGATGAATAATATTATTGAGTATGAATATCTATAATAATATGATATATAGATATCAATTCATAAGCTTAGCTGGCAACCAACAGCATAAATTGCATTACACCAACCCACGACCTTTATTCATTTCAATATTATTTCAATCGACACTAATTAATGTAAGCTTTTTTTTCTTGTAGGCATTATTAAATTGGTAGATGAATTTTAATCTATCAATTTAATATAAGTGGGATTTTGTGTAATTGTTCTTGCCCATTTATTTATTTTGTACAACCTATTGAAAACAAACTGAAATTAATAATAGAATATGAATATAGCCAAGATATATGTAACATATATCTATCGATAATCTTGTAAATTGAAGAGTTCAACATGATCGATAATAAACATACATAAACTAAAATTTTAGGCATTGATGAATTTTCGTCGAACGATGTATCGAGAGAATCTATTCATAGTTCATACCTTCTTCAGCATTATGCTTCATGCCATTATCAAGTTGATGGCTCCACACGCTTTCTAAACCATTCGAACAAACAAATTATAATTCACGAACAGCAGGCCATCAAAACATGCACGCACATTGTTGCTATACATTCAAAGGAAGAAGAGAAAAAAAAAAACCAAATTCTATGATGTCAACGCAGAGGACCTTTCCAACTTTCAATCCTCAAGTTTGCAAAGCTGTAATTCATATATATATTTGTAGCTCTGACTTCTGCGAATTAATGATTAGAAAACCCAATGTCTTGTAATGAACAAGGAAAGGCAAGCTATATAAAGCAAGCATTAGCTTGAAGTTTCAAACCGTCCCATTTCAATCCCAGAAAAGAAGCTTTCCTGATATTGGGACTGAAATGGCGAAGTTTCAATCTTTTTCTATAGCATTGTTGGTGTGTGTGATTGTGTCTAATCACATTGTAGTTGATGCCAATATTTCAAAGAACATGGCCATAACCTGGGGAAATAGTCGGTCCAAAATAGAAGGGGATAGCCTTCAGCTGGTTTTGGACCAAAGCACAGGTGAAATAATATCATTTCTTGCTTTCCTGTATGCAATAAACAAGTTCATCAAGTAGTTAGTTTTGACCAGAAAGAATGATTCTGTTGTTGCAGGCTCGGGAGCGAAGTCGAAGAGAGATTTCTTATTTGGAAGCTTTGAAGCTCTCATCAAGCTCGTTCCAGGGGATTCTGCCGGAGTAGTAACAGCGTATTATGTACGGTTCAAGGCTAAATCTCACACGACACAACATCGATCGAGATGATGTTACAAATATATATATATATATATATATATATATATATATATAAGTTTTGTGGTGCTAATTCTTGATCTTGGAACTTTTGCAGCTATCTTCTACAGGTTCAGCTCATGATGAGATAGACTATGAGTTCTTGGGGAATGTTTCAGGACAGCCGTACACCATTCATACAAACATATTCACTCAGGGTGTTGGAAACAGAGAACAGCAGTTTCGATTGTGGTTTGACCCCACCACCGATTTCCACAACTACACAATTCACTGGAATCCGAATGCTGTTGTGTAAGTGAGAATTAATATCCTGAAAAACAAATTTGAAGTTCAGCTTTAAAGAACTAAACAATTTGCTTGGGAATAGAACATAACAAGTGTGTGAGCTAATGTCAGGTGGTATATTGATGGTATCCCAATAAGAGTTTTCCGGAACTACGAAAAGCAAAGGATAGGTTTCCCTAACAAGCAAGGTATGAGGGTATATACCAGCTTGTGGAATGCAGATGATTGGGCAACTCAAGGAGGCCGCGTGAAAACCAATTGGGCCAACGCACCATTCACGGCTAGCTTTCGCCACTTTAGGCCAAGAGCTTGTTACTGGAATGGAGTAGCCAGCATTAGTCAATGTGCCGCTAAGTCCCCAGCAAACTGGTGGACTTCTCCAGCTTATGCACAGCTCAGTGCTCCTCAGTTGGCTAAGCTTAATGAAATCCAGCAGAACTACATGATATATGATTACTGCAAAGACACTAAACGGTTCAATGGGCAAATGCCACAAGAATGTTATAGAAGACAGTTCTAACACAATGTTGCGTAACAGCTAATGCAGTGTTCAGAACAGCAATACTACCAACAATAACAATATGGCAATCGGCTGTGTTTCAAAAATGTTCATTTTTCTTCTTTCAGAGATCAGTTCTCCTTTTCTTGCTTGGTTCCTTTATGTGGGATCATAGCTTTCTGATTGTTTTCATATACGTGTTTACCATGTTCCAATATGATTGCTTTCCCGTTGCTTTATCTATGTAAGCCTTATAACTGAGTAGCTCTACAAACTTTCCTCTTCGTCTCTATCTATTAGACCCGGAACCCATAACCAAAGAGTTCGGCAAAAATACAGTCCACTCTCTAGGCCAAGAAGCTACTCGTGTTATGCAAGGGGCTCTACAAAGTATAAGTACACCAAAGTGTAAGGAACCACGACTCTCCACAATAGTATGATATTGTCTATTTTGAACATAAGCTCTTATAGCTTTTGGCAACGGAAGACTACTCCTTTCAATAATCCTCAACAAAAAGAACTTGACTTAGGACGAAGAAAACAAGTTATATGGAAACAAGTCGAGGGAGGCAAGCAGCCCTTTTTCAGGGCATTATACAAATTAATTTCGAATTTGAAGAGACCAAATACAACCCAACGCCCGATCACTACATTTAATCGCAGAGTATTTTTCAACAGTACTGTTTGGACATTCATATCATGCATCTCGGAATGAGGAAAATTACAATAGCAGCGATAAAACCCTAGAATGATAAGCAAATCAATTACAAACTAAACTCCAAATCTAAGTTCCCCAATTCACAAATCGGAATTAGTTAATGCAAAGCCATACGCCCAACCCAATCAGAGCAGTACCAAACAGAGCGTACCCGACACGAGTTTCCTCGCCAAGAAGCATTCCGAAAACAGCGGTGGCAGCAAAAGTTGTGGCGTTGGTGACCGGAACGGCGAGCGATATTGGGGCATCGCTTAGAATGGCAAAGAAAGTAGCTGAGGCGGTGAGATTAACCAAAAAAGGGACAGTGTACTGCCAGATCGAGAGGAGCTTGAGCCATCGACGGAAGGAGGAGAGGAGTTTGTTTGAAGAGCGGGTTGCATTGGAGGAAGATTTAAGAGCTTGGTCCCAGAGAAGGGCGCCACGGCGCATCAGTGCATTGGTGGCGCCCCATGCTATACCGATCGCAACCATTTTCTCTACATCCCCGATCATCTTCTTCCGCAGTCTCTCTGTTCAGTTGTTTCAGCTGATTCTCTGTTCAGTTGTTTCAGAACTCAGAATTGTGTTTATCAACTGAAATATCCGTTTATATATATATAAAAACAATAAAAAAAAATTAAAATATCATTTTAATCTTCCTAAAGCTCTATTTTATTAATATCACAAAATTTCAATGATATAAACCCAAGTTTATTATTTGAACAAATCGATAAAAAATTTGTTCTTCCGAATAAGAATAAAAACATCAATCTTTGAGAATTCATATCATATAGTTCATACTTCCTTAGCATTATACCCCATAATCTTTTAATAGAAAAAACCGGATTCTATCATGCCAACCAACGACCTTTACAACTTTACTATATTCTTAATTCATACAATTATAGCTCTTATTCAGGAAATTAAAGATAAAAATAGCCAATGTCTAATAATAGACGAGGAAAGGCAAGCTATAAAGCGATCAGAAACTTGAATCTTTGAAACATCCCATTCCAATCCCACAAATTAGGAAGACAAAAAGAGCTTCCTGATATTGGGATTGAAATGGCAGGGTTTCAATCTCTTTCAATAGCATTTTTGGTGTGTGTGATTGTGTCTAATCACATGGTAGTTGATGCCATGACGTCAAAAAACATGGCCCTATTCTGGGGAAATAGTCAGTCCAAAATAGAAGGGGATGACCTTCAGCTTGTTCTGGACCAAAGCTCAGGTGAAATGATGTCATTTCTTGCTTTCTTGACCATATCTCCATGTTTCTCAGAACTGTGAATGTGCAAAATGAACAAATTCATCTAGTACTTACCTTTGACCGCCAAGAATGATTCTGTCGTTGCAGGCTCGGGAGCAAAGTCAAAGAGATATTTCATTTTCGGAAGCTTTGAAGCTCAGATCAAGTTCGTTCCAGGAGATTCTGCAGGATTAGTAACGGCATTTTATGTATGGTTCAACGCTGAAAAAATACCTGAGCAATCTACATAGATTACACAGAGTTTTTCTGGTGCTAATTCTTCATCTTAAAATTTTTGCAGCTATCTTCTGAAGGTAGCCATCATGATGAGGTAGACTTTGAGTTCTTGGGGAATGCCACCGGAGAGCCTTATACCATTCACACAAACATATTCGTTCAGGGTGTGGGAGACAGAGAACAGCAGTTTCGACCGTGGTTCGACCCCACTGCTGATTTCCACAACTACACAATTCACTGGAATCCTAATGCTGTTGTGTAAGTGAAAATTTGATCAACTTAAAAGCATATGGTGAAAATTGATCCCAATAAGAACATGACGTGATCTGGATGATTTCAGGTGGTATATTGATGGTATTCCAATTAGAATTTTCCGGAACTACGAGAACGCCCCGAAGCTAAAAACAGCCTTCCCTAACAAGCAAGGTATGAGGTTATATACCAGTTTGTGGAATGCACAGGATTGGGCAACTCAAGGAGGGCGTGTGAAAACCAACTGGGCCAGCGCACCGTTCACGGCTAGCTTTCGCCGCTTTAGGCCAAGAGCTTGTCCCTGGAATGGAGCGCTCAGCATTAGCCAATGTGCCTCCAACTCCCCAACAAACTGGTGGACTTCTCCAATTCATGCACAGCTAAGTGCTTCTCAGTCGACCAAGCTTAGGGAAATCCGCGAGAAATACATGATCTATGATTACTGCTTAGACCCTACACGTAGACCCAACGGGGTACTGCCACCAGAATGCTAACACAAACACAAGCACTACTACCAGCAATAACGCTATCGCGCTGGTGGACTTCTCCAGTTCATGCACAGCTAAGTGCTTCTCAGTCGACCAAGCTTAGGGAAATCCGCGAGAAATACATGATATATGATTACTGCTTAGACCCTACACGTAGACCCAACGGGGTACTGCCACCAGAATGCGAACACAAACACAAGCACTACTACCAGCAATAACGCTATCGCGCTGGTGGACTTCTCCAGTTCATGCACAGCTAAGTGCTTCTCAGTCGACCAAGCTTAGGGAAATCCGCCAGAAATACATGATATATGATTACTGCTTACACCCTACACGGAGACGATCCAACGGGGTACTGCCACCAGAATGTTATAGACGGCCATTCAAACACAAACACAAGCACTACGGCCAGCAATAACAGTATCACACTCACACTCAGTTGTGTACCAAAAATGCTATTTTTTTCTTCTTTGAGAGAAACCCTGTTTGCAAGTTCATTGCTTTATGATTGGTTTCGATGTACCGTTTTTACTAGGATGCATGTTTCATATAAAACTTGCTTTCCCATTTGCATTTGCTTGATCTGTGAAATCTTGGGACTGAGGAGCCTAAAAAGTATTAGTGCACAAAATTATCTGGTTTAGGATGAAGAACACAAGTCATGGGGAAAAGATAGGTACAGAAAGTAACCTTTTGATACTGCTCGCTTTCCTATATATTCAAACTGTCGTTGAAAAATGACCCTGGGAAGAGTTATCCAGAAAGAAACAAATGGATTCTTTTATAGCAAACTGTAAAATATTGGAAACTAAGGTCAAAGCAAATCAACTTTTGAGAAAGACCTTTTGCCTCTAGTAAATTAGGAGATGAAATAGCCAATGGTTAATCTGCACATAACTTTTCTCTAACACATTCCTAACTTCATCGCTGACAACCAATACATGTCATCATTAGCCCAATACAAACCCAATAATTGTATGATCCCATTTAGGATAATTCCATAGGAAAATAATTTAGGTTTTTAGAAATAAAGATATCTAGGTATTTTAGGAAAATGATTTAAAAAATAGTGAGATATTTTTGGAATAAATTGTTTAACCTCTACTATGAATACCCTCCACCCTACCAAGCTTTTCATCCCAAAAAATTTAAAGCACTCAGTTTCGTTAGGTGTTAATTCTTGGAACTCTTCTTGAAGGATCCTTATAAACTAGTTCTTTTTGGTTGTCAACATTAGAAAGATCCTTGGAACTCTTCTTGAAGGATCCTTATAAACTAGTTCTTTTTGGTTGTCAACATTAGAAAGGTCGNTGAGGTAGACTTTGAGTTCTTGGGGAATGCCACCGGAGAGCCTTATACCATTCACACAAACATATTCGTTCAGGGTGTGGGAGACAGAGAACAGCAGTTTCGACCGTGGTTCGACCCCACTGCTGATTTCCACAACTACACAATTCACTGGAATCCTAATGCTGTTGTGTAAGTGAAAATTTGATCAACTTAAAAGCATATGGTGAAAATTGATCCCAATAAGAACATGACGTGATCTGGATGATTTCAGGTGGTATATTGATGGTATTCCAATTAGAATTTTCCGGAACTACGAGAACGCCCCGAAGCTAAAAACAGCCTTCCCTAACAAGCAAGGTATGAGGTTATATACCAGTTTGTGGAATGCACAGGATTGGGCAACTCAAGGAGGGCGTGTGAAAACCAACTGGGCCAGCGCACCGTTCACGGCTAGCTTTCGCCGCTTTAGGCCAAGAGCTTGTCCCTGGAATGGAGCGCTCAGCATTAGCCAATGTGCCTCCAACTCCCCAACAAACTGGTGGACTTCTCCAATTCATGCACAGCTAAGTGCTTCTCAGTCGACCAAGCTTAGGGAAATCCGCGAGAAATACATGATCTATGATTACTGCTTAGACCCTACACGTAGACCCAACGGGGTACTGCCACCAGAATGCTAACACAAACACAAGCACTACTACCAGCAATAACGCTATCGCGCTGGTGGACTTCTCCAGTTCATGCACAGCTAAGTGCTTCTCAGTCGACCAAGCTTAGGGAAATCCGCCAGAAATACATGATATATGATTACTGCTTACACCCTACACGGAGACGATCCAACGGGGTACTGCCACCAGAATGTTATAGACGGCCATTCAAACACAAACACAAGCACTACGGCCAGCAATAACAGTATCACACTCACACTCAGTTGTGTACCAAAAATGCTATTTTTTTCTTCTTTGAGAGAAACCCTGTTTGCAAGTTCATTGCTTTATGATTGGTTTCGATGTACCGTTTTTACTAGGATGCATGTTTCATATAAAACTTGCTTTCCCATTTGCATTTGCTTGATCTGTGAAATCTTGGGACAAGAGGAGCCTAAAAAGTATTAGTGCACAAAATTATCTGGTTTAGGATGAAGAACACAAGTCATGCGGAAAAGATAGGTACAGAAAGTAACCTTTTGATACTGCTCGCTTTCCTATATATTCAAACTGTCGTTGAAAAATGACCCTGGGAAGAGTTATCCAGAAAGAAACAAATGGATTCTTTTATAGCAAACTGTAAAATATTGGAAACTAAGGTCAAAGCAAATCAACTTTTGAGAAAGACCTTTTGCCTCTAGTAAATTAGGAGATGAAATAGCCAATGGTTAATCTGCACATAACTTTTCTCTAACACATTCCTAACTTCATCGCTGACAACCAATACATGTCATCATTAGCCCAATACAAACCCAATAATTGTATGATCCCATTTAGGATAATTCCATAGGAAAATAATTTAGGTTTTTAGAAATAAAGATATCTAGGTATTTTAGGAAAATGATTTAAAAAATAGTGAGATATTTTTGGAATAAATTGTTTAACCTCTACTATGAATACCCTCCACCCTACCAAGCTTTTCATCCCAAAAAATTTAAAGCACTCAGTTTCGTTAGGTGTTAATTCTTGGAACTCTTCTTGAAGGATCCTTATAAACTAGTTCTTTTTGGTTGTCAACATTAGAAAGATCCTTGGAACTCTTCTTGAAGGATCCTTATAAACTAGTTCTTTTTGGTTGTCAACATTAGAAAGGTCGGCGATCTAAGGCAATATGATAGCAGATGCTAGAAGAGCACTCAAAATTTTTTCAAGCTTGACTAAATGTAATTGTTGACTAACAATTTGGATGCATGAAATCTTTTACCTCGGAAACACTATAGTTGGCTTCATAAGACTTCCAAGGTTGAGGCTCCAAAACAAGAATGCCACCCTGCCGGCCACCCTGCCTTTTCAAAATGAAAGCTTAATTAAGAAGGTTCTTAATCAAAAAAGTAAATACAGAAGGTTCTTATTCCTGATCTTAGGGCAATTTAACACAAAGTACATAGGTGTATGACAAGGTAAGTACCGGAGGAAGCAGTCTCCAACCAACATCTCCCCAGTTTTGATGAATCCACTTTGCTACACTCAAACTGCAGTACAGAAATTAGAAAAAAAAAAAAAAAAAACGCATGTTGTGACCCCAGAAGGGAGACGTATCAAGGGTCAAGAAAACAAATAGCATTAATACTCAACACCTAAGATAAAAAGATTAACTTACCAAAGAATTGTATCATAGTGCTTCTCAGGTGGATATGGACTAAATATAAACTTCTGCAGTTGGAAGGAAACAACGGTATGAAGATCATGTTCTTTGGAAGAGAAATGCTTGTAGAAACTTCTGTATCTATCTTCAAAGCTCCAAACCATTATCCGGCTTCCAAACATCTATCTTGCCCTTCCTAGATTCCAGTAAGCATCGTCAACTCGATCCTGCATAAAGAGAAGTTCAGGTTGGAAACAAAGCAACTATTTGTATAGAAAGATCGAGGGATCAACTCTGGCTAAGTACCTTGGTATACAAACAAATCTTTCACTTTTGAGATCTATTTTCTCCTAACATAACTACCAGAACATGATGTGATGATTACTAAAGCCACCAGCAAAAAGATAGAGTTCGTATTGATGAAGTCACTATGAACCATGAAGCTCAACGAACAATGTAAGCTCCCTCGATAATTTCAGGTCACGAGCTTTGATTCTATCAATATGGAGGAGGAACAGAGGTTCGAGTTTCCACCCATGAAGTACGTTACTAAGAGGCAATCCGGTATGACAAAGCTAAAAAATATAAGTGCGTTACAGGTCATAATTACAGCCCATAGGGGACCGGGAAAGGGCATACCACTCAAGACTATTTAGATATAAATATTTATCACACATAGCCTGATCAACAACCTCCTTCAATATCTACCCTTTTCTGTAAAACCCTTCAATTACTTTTTTGGTATAAAAATTCTCCTCCCTAATACTATAGTCAAACAATAAATCAGCATCCAACCATCCCAGGCTATAATTTACATGACTAATTTACAAGTGCCTAAAATAGTTAATGATAAAATGCATCATTAATTTGAGAAGTCATATATCATATAGTTCATACTTTCTTAGCATTATGCCCCGTGCCCTTTATCAAGTTGGGAGCGCCACTCACCTTTCTACACCATTTGAACCAAGATACTATAGCTTACGAATTAATAGAAAAAAAAAACGGTTTCTATCATGGCAACGAAGGACCTTCTCAACTTTACTATTTTTAAGTGTGCAAAGCTGTAATTCATACACTTATAGCTCTTATTCAGGAAATTAAAGATAAAAATAGCCAATGTCTAATAATAGACGAGGAAAGGCAAGCTATAAAGCGATCAGAAACTTGAATCTTTGAAACATCCCATTCCAATCCCACAAATTAGGAAGACAAAAAGAGCTTCCTGATATTGGGATTGAAATGGCAGGGTTTCAATCTCTTTCAATAGCATTTTTGGTGTGTGTGATTGTGTCTAATCACATGGTAGTTGATGCCATGACGTCAAAAAACATGGCCCTATTCTGGGGAAATAGTCAGTCCAAAATAGAAGGGGATGACCTTCAGCTTGTTCTGGACCAAAGCTCAGGTGAAATGATGTCATTTCTTGCTTTCTTGACCATATCTCCATGTTTCTCAGAACTGTGAATGTGCAAAATGAACAAATTCATCTAGTACTTACCTTTGACCGCCAAGAATGATTCTGTCGTTGCAGGCTCGGGAGCAAAGTCAAAGAGATATTTCATTTTCGGAAGCTTTGAAGCTCAGATCAAGTTCGTTCCAGGAGATTCTGCAGGATTAGTAACGGCATTTTATGTATGGTTCAACGCTGAAAAAATACCTGAGCAATCTACATAGATTACACAGAGTTTTTCTGGTGCTAATTCTTCATCTTAAAATTTTTGCAGCTATCTTCTGAAGGTAGCCATCATGATGAGGTAGACTTTGAGTTCTTGGGGAATGCCACCGGAGAGCCTTATACCATTCACACAAACATATTCGTTCAGGGTGTGGGAGACAGAGAACAGCAGTTTCGACCGTGGTTCGACCCCACTGCTGATTTCCACAACTACACAATTCACTGGAATCCTAATGCTGTTGTGTAAGTGAAAATTTGATCAACTTAAAAGCATATGGTGAAAATTGATCCCAATAAGAACATGACGTGATCTGGATGATTTCAGGTGGTATATTGATGGTATTCCAATTAGAATTTTCCGGAACTACGAGAACGCCCCGAAGCTAAAAACAGCCTTCCCTAACAAGCAAGGTATGAGGTTATATACCAGTTTGTGGAATGCACAGGATTGGGCAACTCAAGGAGGGCGTGTGAAAACCAACTGGGCCAGCGCACCGTTCACGGCTAGCTTTCGCCGCTTTAGGCCAAGAGCTTGTCCCTGGAATGGAGCGCTCAGCATTAGCCAATGTGCCTCCAACTCCCCAACAAACTGGTGGACTTCTCCAATTCATGCACAGCTAAGTGCTTCTCAGTCGACCAAGCTTAGGGAAATCCGCGAGAAATACATGATCTATGATTACTGCTTAGACCCTACACGTAGACCCAACGGGGTACTGCCACCAGAATGCTAACACAAACACAAGCACTACTACCAGCAATAACGCTATCGCGCTGGTGGACTTCTCCAGTTCATGCACAGCTAAGTGCTTCTCAGTCGACCAAGCTTAGGGAAATCCGCGAGAAATACATGATATATGATTACTGCTTAGACCCTACACGTAGACCCAACGGGGTACTGCCACCAGAATGCGAACACAAACACAAGCACTACTACCAGCAATAACGCTATCGCGCTGGTGGACTTCTCCAGTTCATGCACAGCTAAGTGCTTCTCAGTCGACCAAGCTTAGGGAAATCCGCGAGAAATACATGATATATGATTACTGCTTAGACCCTACACGTAGACCCAACGGGGTACTGCCACCAGAATGCGAACACAAACACAAGCACTACTACCAGCAATAACGCTATCGCGCTGGTGGACTTCTCCAGTTCATGCACAGCTAAGTGCTTCTCAGTCGACCAAGCTTAGGGAAATCCGCGAGAAATACATGATATATGATTACTGCTTAGACCCTACACGTAGACCCAACGGGGTACTGCCACCAGAATGCGAACACAAACACAAGCACTACTACCAGCAATAACGCTATCGCGCTGGTGGACTTCTCCAGTTCATGCACAGCTAAGTGCTTCTCAGTCGACCAAGCTTAGGGAAATCCGCGAGAAATACATGATATATGATTACTGCTTAGACCCTACACGTAGACCCAACGGGGTACTGCCACCAGAATGCTAACACAAACACAAGCACTACTACCAGCAATAACGCTATCGCGCTGGTGGACTTCTCCAGTTCATGCACAGCTAAGTGCTTCTCAGTCGACCAAGCTTAGGGAAATCCGCGAGAAATACATGATATATGATTACTGCTTAGACCCTACACGTAGACCCAACGGGGTACTGCCACCAGAATGCGAACACAAACACAAGCACTACTACCAGCAATAACGCTATCGCGCTGGTGGACTTCTCCAGTTCATGCACAGCTAAGTGCTTCTCAGTCGACCAAGCTTAGGGAAATCCGCGAGAAATACATGATATATGATTACTGCTTACACCCTACACGGAGACGATCCAACGGGGTACTGCCACCAGAATGTTATAGACGGCCATTCAAACACAAACACAAGCACTACGGCCAGCAATAACAGTATCACACTCACACTCAGTTGTGTACCAAAAATGCTATTTTTTTCTTCTTTGAGAGAAACCCTGTTTGCAAGTTCATTGCTTTATGATTGGTTTCGATGTACCGTTTTTACTAGGATGCATGTTTCATATAAAACTTGCTTTCCCATTTGCATTTGCTTGATCTGTGAAATCTTGGGACAAGAGGAGCCTAAAAAGTATTAGTGCACAAAATTATCTGGTTTAGGATGAAGAACACAAGTCATGCGGAAAAGATAGGTACAGAAAGTAACCTTTTGATACTGCTCGCTTTCCTATATATTCAAACTGTCGTTGAAAAATGACCCTGGGAAGAGTTATCCAGAAAGAAACAAATGGATTCTTTTATAGCAAACTGTCGTTGAAAAATGACCCTGGGAAGAGTTATCCAGAAAGAAACAAATGGATTCTTTTATAGCAAACTGTAAAATATTGGAAACTAAGGTCAAAGCAAATCAACTTTTGAGAAAGACCTTTTGCCTCTAGTAAATTAGGAGATGAAATAGCCAATGGTTAATCTGCACATAACTTTTCTCTAACACATTCCTAACTTCATCGCTGACAACCAATACATGTCATCATTAGCCCAATACAAACCCAATAATTGTATGATCCCATTTAGGATAATTCCATAGGAAAATAATTTAGGTTTTTAGAAATAAAGATATCTAGGTATTTTAGGAAAATGATTTAAAAAATAGTGAGATATTTTTGGAATAAATTGTTTAACCTCTACTATGAATACCCTCCACCCTACCAAGCTTTTCATCCCAAAAAATTTAAAGCACTCAGTTTCGTTAGGTGTTAATTCTTGGAACTCTTCTTGAAGGATCCTTATAAACTAGTTCTTTTTGGTTGTCAACATTAGAAAGATCCTTGGAACTCTTCTTGAAGGATCCTTATAAACTAGTTCTTTTTGGTTGTCAACATTAGAAAGAGATCCTTGGAACTCTTCTTGAAGGATCCTTATAAACTAGTTCTTTTTGGTTGTCAACATTAGAAAGGTCGGCGATCTAAGGCAATATGATAGCAGATGCTAGAAGAGCACTCAAAATTTTTTCAAGCTTGACTAAATGTAATTGTTGACTAACAATTTGGATGCATGAAATCTTTTACCTCGGAAACACTATAGTTGGCTTCATAAGACTTCCAAGGTTGAGGCTCCAAAACAAGAATGCCACCCTGCCGGCCACCCTGCCTTTTCAAAATGAAAGCTTAATTAAGAAGGTTCTTAATCAAAAAAGTAAATACAGAAGGTTCTTATTCCTGATCTTAGGGCAATTTAACACAAAGTACATAGGTGTATGACAAGGTAAGTACCGGAGGAAGCAGTCTCCAACCAACATCTCCCCAGTTTTGATGAATCCACTTTGCTACACTCAAACTGCAGTACAGAAATTAGAAAAAAAAAAAAAAAAAAAACATGTTGTGACCCCAGAAGGGAGACGTATCAAGGGTCAAGAAAACAAATAGCATTAATACTCAACACCTAAGATAAAAAGATTAACTTACCAAAGAATTGTATCATAGTGCTTCTCAGGTGGATATGGACTAAATATAAACTTCTGCAGTTGGAAGGAAACAACGGTATGAAGATCATGTTCTTTGGAAGAGAAATGCTTGTAGAAACTTCTGTATCTATCTTCAAAGCTCCAAACCATTATCCGGCTTCCAAACATCTATCTTGCCCTTCCTAGATTCCAGTAAGCATCGTCAACTCGATCCTGCATAAAGAGAAGTTCAGGTTGGAAACACCCTTCCTAGATTCCAGTAAGCATCGTCAACTCGATCCTGCATAAAGAGAAGTTCAGGTTGGAAACAGGGCAACTATTTGTATAGAAAGATCGAGGGATCAACTCTGGCTAAGTACCTTGGTATACAAACAAATCTTTCACTTTTGAGATCTATTTTCTCCTAACATAACTACCAGAACATGATGTGATGATTACTCAAATCTTTCACTTTTGAGATCTATTTTCTCCTAACATAACTACCAGAACATGATGTGATGATTACTAAAGCCACCAGCAAAAAGATAGAGTTCGTATTGATGAAGTCACTATGAACCATGAAGCTCAACGAACAATGTAAGCTCCCTCGATAATTTCAGGTCACGAGCTTTGATTCTATCAATATGGAGGAGGAACAGAGGTTCGAGTTTCCACCCATGAAGTACGTTACTAAGAGGCAATCCGGTATGACAAAGCTAAAAAATATAAGTGCGTTACAGGTCATAATTACAGCCCATAGGGGACCGGGAAAGGGCATACCACTCAAGACTATTTAGATATAAATATTTATCACACATAGCCTGATCAACAACCTCCTTCAATATCTACCCTTTTCTGTAAAACCCTTCAATTACTTTTTTGGTATAAAAATTCTCCTCCCTAATACTATAGTCAAACAATAAATCAGCATCCAACCATCCCAGGCTATAATTTACATGACTAATTTACAAGTGCCTAAAATAGTTAATGATAAAATGCATCATTAATTTGAGAAGTCATATATCATATAGTTCATACTTTCTTAGCATTATGCCCCGTGCCCTTTATCAAGTTGGGAGCGCCACTCACCTTTCTACACCATTTGAACCAAGATACTATAGCTTCCGAATTAATAGAAAAAAAAAACGGTTTCTATCATGGCAACGAAGGACCTTCTCAACTTTACTATTTTTAAGTGTGCAAAGCTGTAATTCATACACTCATAGCTCTTATTCAGGAAATTAAAGATAAAAATAGCCAATGTCTAATAATAGACGAGGAAAGGCAAGCTATAAAGCGATCAGAAACTTGAATCTTTGAAACATCCCATTCCAATCCCACAAATTAGGAAGACAAAAAGAGCTTCCTGATATTGGGATTGAAATGGCAGGGTTTCAATCTCTTTCAATAGCATTTTTGGTGTGTGTGATTGTGTCTAATCACATGGTAGTTGATGCCATGACGTCAAAAAACATGGCCCTATTCTGGGGAAATAGTCAGTCCAAAATAGAAGGGGATGACCTTCAGCTTGTTCTGGACCAAAGCTCAGGTGAAATGATGTCATTTCTTGCTTTCTTGACCATATCTCCATGTTTCTCAGAACTGTGAATGTGCAAAATGAACAAATTCATCTAGTACTTACCTTTGACCGCCAAGAATGATTCTGTCGTTGCAGGCTCGGGAGCAAAGTCAAAGAGATATTTCATTTTCGGAAGCTTTGAAGCTCAGATCAAGTTCGTTCCAGGAGATTCTGCAGGATTAGTAACGGCATTTTATGTATGGTTCAACGCTGAAAAAATACCTGAGCAATCTACATAGATTACACAGAGTTTTTTTGGTGCTAATTCTTCATCTTAAAATTTTTGCAGCTATCTTCTGAAGGTAGCCATCATGATGAGGTAGACTTTGAGTTCTTGGGGAATGCCACCGGAGAGCCTTATACCATTCACACAAACATATTCGTTCAGGGTGTGGGACACAGAGAACAGCAGTTTCGACCGTGGTTCGACCCCACTGCTGATTTCCACAACTACACAATTCACTGGAATCCTAATGCTGTTGTGTAAGTGAAAATTTGATCAACTTAAAAGCATATGGTGAAAATTGATCCCAATAAGAACATGACGTGATCTGGATGATTTCAGGTGGTATATTGATGGTATTCCAATTAGAATTTTCCGGAACTACGAGAACGCCCCGAAGCTAAAAACAGCCTTCCCTAACAAGCAAGGTATGAGGTTATATACCAGTTTGTGGAATGCACAGGATTGGGCAACTCAAGGAGGGCGTGTGAAAACCAACTGGGCCAGCGCACCGTTCACGGCTAGCTTTCGCCGCTTTAGGCCAAGAGCTTGTCCCTGGAATGGAGCGCTCAGCATTAGCCAATGTGCCTCCAACTCCCCAGCAAACTGGTGGACTTCTCCAATTCATGCACAGCTAAGTGCGTCTCAGTCGACCAAGCTTAGGGAAATCCGCCAGAAATACATGATATATGATTACTGCTTAGACCCTACACGTAAACGATCCAGTGGGGTACTGCCGCCAGAATGTTATAGACGGCAGTTCTAACACAAATACAAGCATGACTACCAGCAATAACAATATCACACTCACACTCAGTTGTGTACCAAAAATGCTATTTTTTTTATTCTTTGAGAGAAACCCTGTTTGCAAGTTCATAGCTTCATGATTGGTTTCTATGTATCGTTCGTACTATTTTTGAAAATGGATAAATGGATACATGTTTCATATAAAACTTGCTTCCCCATTTGCTTGATCTGTGAAATCTTTGGACTGAGGAGCCTACAAAGTATTAGTGCACAAAATTATTTGGCTTAGGATGAAGAACACAAGTCATGCAAATAAGTAAGGGAGGTAAAGATAGGAACAGAAAGGAACCTTTTGATACTGCACGCTTTCCTAAAGATTCAAACTGAAATCACTTTTTACTCTTTAGACAGACCTGTCCATGAAAAATGACCCTGGGTAGAGTTATCCAGAAAGAAACAAATGCTTTCTTTTGTAGCGAACTGGAAAATATTCGAAACTGAGGTCAAAGCAAATCAACTTCTGAGAAGGACTTTTGCCTCTAGTGGTTGAGGAAATGAAATAGCTACAAAATCAACCATATTTAACGCGGAATTTGTCAATGGCTGTCTGGAGGACCGGTTTGTGAAACTGTAAAGGACACCCAATGGTTAATCTGCATCTAACTTTTCTCTAAGACATTCCTAACCCTATCATTGACTAAGATCCATTCCTTCAACCAAAGACAAGTCAGGTGAGCTTGGTTGGGAAGAAGTCTGGATAGGATTGGATTCACTCAGACTACGACTAGTCAAGATGTTAAAAACCTTTTCAAGGCTTCTAAGTTTAAATACTTGTTCAAAATAATAATATCCTGAAAGAAAATTAAAGAAACCTAAAGATAATCTATCTTAGAGCTGATTTAGCATCCACTTCGGGAACTATTTGGATTGCAAAGCACTTTAAAGTACATTTTCTTTTATTTTCTTTTCTTTTTTGATGCAAACTGAGCAAAATTAAAAGACTTGTTTTGATTACATTTTCATCAACTGTCACCTTGTTCTTGTTACAAAACGAGACAAACAACTTTGTTGTTACACAGAGAAAGGTTTAAACTTAGTTATGAGTGAAAATGATATATGAACGGTACATGAATAGTGATATATATCAGCGTTAAGATTGTTCAAAAGGATAACGATGTAAATATCAAAAAGCAGAAGCTTACAACAAGCCTTCAAAAAGCACCTACGCATAAGTGACAGGGATCCCAATACAGACGGCACCCTTCAAAAACAGCCACTCTTTACCATGTCTGGAATATGTAATGTACTATTTAAACTAAACAAGGCCTGTAACTAACTACTTCTAAAGACCAGCTGATGGCTCTCTGCATTCAATTTGGTTCAGATGTCCAGATTACAAACATTCACTTCCGGAAAACAAAAATTGGTCGATTGAATCCTCCTGTATTGCTGTGGGACAAGCCGGTGGTTAAGGCTTCAACTGTTCTGAACCCAATCTGGGGTGGTATTTTGTCCAGAAGTTAGTGAAAACTGATGCTGTTTGTAAAACTAAGCCAAATAAATCATAAAAATACCTTGTCTAGGAGTATCTCTTGGAACTCTTCTGGAAGGATCCTTATAGACTTGAAGTTCTTTTTAGTTGTCTGCATTAGAACGATCAGCGATCTAAGGCAATATGATATGAGATGCTAGAAGAGCACCGGAAAAAAATTCAAGTTTGACTAAAAGTAATTGTTGATTAACAATTTGGATGCATGAAATTTTTTACCTCGGAAACACTATAGTTGGCTTCATAAGACTTCCAAGGTTGAGGCTCCAAAACAAGAATGCCACCCTGCCTTTTCAGAATGAATGCATAATTAAGAAGGTTCTTAATCAAACATTAAAGTAAATACAAACATATAACTGACCAAGGTTATTATTGATCTTAGGACCATTTAAGACAAAGTGCATAGGTGTATGACAAGGCAAGTACCGGGTGAAGTAGTCTCCAAATTTTGTAAAACAATGTAATTAAACCATCATCTCCCCAGTTTAGATGAATCCACTTTGCTACACTCAAACTGCAGTACAGAAAAAAAAAAAAAAAAAAAAANCTGGTATATAGCAATTATTTTGTATATATACAGTTTATGTTTAAATTTAACAAACAGGGATCAAATTTATTACCTGCAGTAAAAAAAAATCAAAATGAACTGCAGTAAAAAAAAAAAAAAAAAAAAACGCATATTGTGACCCCAGAAGGGAGATGCATCAAGGGTCAAGAAAACAAATAGCATTAATACGCAACACAAGATAAAAAGATTAACTTACCAAAGAATTGTATCATAGTGCTTCTCAGGTGGATATTGACTAAATATAAAATTCTGCTGTTGGAAGGAAACATCGGTATGAAGATCATGCTCTTTGGAAGAAGAAATACTTGTAGAAGCTTCTGTATCTATCTTCGAAGCTCCAGAAGCACCAAGCTCCAAACCATTATCCGGCTTCCCAACATTTATTCTTGCCCTTCTTAGATTCCGGTAAGCATCGTCAACTCGATCTTGCATAAAGAGAAGTTCAGGTTGGAAACTCAGCAATCATTTTAGAAAGACTGGGAGATCAACTCTGGCTAAGTACCTTGGTATACAAACAATTCTTTCACTTTTGAGATATATTTTCTCCTAACATAACTACCAGAACATGATGTGATTATTACTAAAGCCACCAGTAAAAGATAGAGTTCGTATTGATAAAGTCACTATGATCCATGTAGTTCAACAAACAATGTAAGTTCCCTCAAAAATTTCAGGTCACGAGCTTTGATTCTTTCAATATAAAGGAGGAACAGAGATTCAAGTTCCCACCAATGAAGTAAGTTACTAAGAGGCAATCCAATAGGACAAAGCCAAAAAAAATATAAGTGTGTTACAGGTTATAATTACAGCCCATAGGGGACGGGGAAAGGGCATACCACTCAAGACTATCTAGATCTAAATATTTATCGCACGTACCCTTATCAACAACCACCTTTAATATCTACCCTTTTCTGTAAAACCCTTCAATTACTTTTTTTGTATAAGAATTCTCCAACTAATCTCCCTAATAATATAGTCCAACAATAAATCAGCACCCAACCATCCCAGGCTATAATTTACATGACTAATTTACAAGTGCTTAAAATAGTTAATGATAGAATGCATCATCAATTAAGATTTAGACCTCCAAAGAAGATAGTTATTCACAAAACCGCTTTCATGTACTTTGTAGAAGTATAAAGTGGATCTGCAATGGAAGTTGTAGAGCTTTTAGAGTAAATCTTACCGGGATCAATATCAACGCCAAGAATCCTCCGGCAATTAAACTTTCTAGCTGCGAAAAGAAAGTTATCCGCATAAGTAAAGAGCTCTAGTATTTGAGAAAAAGCAATTCCACAATCTTCAATGAACAATAAAATAGCCAGTGATAACAGAGCTTTCTTGAACTGAGATGCACAAAAGACAGTTTTAAGTTCATAGCGAAATGACAAGTTGCTATAGTTTTATTGTCTTTGCTGCAACATGCATATAAACTTCTTTTCAGACTTGAGACTTCCATGCATATCCTTTGGTAAAATGAGTAAGAAGTTCATAAAATTACGGCACATGATAAGGACGTATCAATCCTTTTTTTTTTTTTTTTAATATATATATATATAAATATAAATAAATAAATACTGAGATTGAAGTATTGCTACCTATCTGAATGGTAACCATCCCACTATTGCAACCAATATCCAGGCAATCCTTGCCTTCAAACCATTCTTTCTTGAAAACCTTTAGACGCGGATCTTCAACAAATTTTTGACCTAACTGCCACACAAAAAATAAGAAAACGCAACTAGGGGTAACGCACATTCTGTCGGCCGAATAAGAACGAATCATAAATTATTAGAGCACTGAAGTTGGAAAAACAAGCTTAACTGGTCTACACCAAGTCTCGAAATTTTAAATTTTCGTTTCTATCACAAACCGACATTAGTTCGAATCTTAACCAGAAACCGGAGACAATCGAGAATACTTCTCAGAACTATATTTACCACAAGAAGGGCAACATAGAACTCCGAGGTAAGTGGGGAAGAATAGGTCAGGAGAAATACCCGGTAGCCATAGTAACTTCGGTAATTGCCATAGGGAAAAGCATGCTTCTTGCGTCTTTTAGGATTTTGCTTGAGTTCAGCTTCTGTTTTCTCCTGCTCTTCCGCCATCTCCTTAAATCGCAACTTTAATTATCTCTTTTGCTGATACTCTCTGAAGTGAAGACGAAACGTCGATGAACGACGGTAATCCCGGGCGGAGGAAGCGGTGGCAGCATGCAATGGAGGAACCAATATCTCTAGGGTTTAAACCAGCTTCCCCTAGCACTGTTATGCGCTTCCTAATTTTCGCGGCAAACCCATGGGCAGCGCGTATATAGGTCATTTTCGTCTTTTTCCTTCCTTTTTTTTCTACCTTTTCCAATTAAATTTTCTCACACTCTATTTTGGTCCCTAATTTTTAAAATTAAAATACTATTTTAGTCCGTAATTTTCAAAACCCCATCTATTTTAGATTTATTCATTTAAATATTTAAATTTATATTTCATATTCTTAGTAAATCTTTAAAGTTAGTTGAAAATATATTTATTAGCCTTCTATCTATAAAATTTGGCAAATATATCTTCATACAAACTATTATCATTATTATTATTATTATTATTTAATAAATTTTGATAAAAAAAAAAATACCTTCAACTACAATAACACGGAGACTAAAACCTTTTTAAACCACTAGATTGATATACCCTAAACTCTAAACCCAAGACAACATTGTATATACAAGAGAAAATGTCACAACTAGATTGATATGACAAATGAACAGGCAACTAATACAATATTCGCAGGATAGGAGCGAAAATTGTTAATATAAAATCCGAAAATTATCTCATAAACTAATTGTCTGCATTTTGTATATCATCTTCATTTATTATATTTTCTATAATATTTTCTTATTTCATAATTTTTCCACGATCTCTATAGTTATCTCATTCATGTGCATTCCTAAACATAGATGTCTACGAGATAGGTGCAGGACAAAAAAGCTTTCCTAGTTCTCGTCCTAAGTTTGTGCTCCAATCCTCCTCCGGAAAAGATTTAAAAGTTTTAAAAATAATTTGGGAAATAATTAATTGATATGGGCTATGAATGGAGGAAAAAAAGGCATATGTGTTTATTAACTCAATTATGAAATAATTAATAATTAATGCAAAAAAAAAAATATATGGAAATATGTCATCCATGGCCAAGAAGGACAAATTTAGAAATAAAAACAAACACCTACGTTAATTAGCTGTTAACTCATCCTACGTGGAAATACAACCTTTTCATAAACAAAATTAATTAGCATCCCTGTTTTTTTTTGTAGTACAAGCTGGCAGTAGAAAGTGGGCCCAATAATACAAAGGCCGGGAATTGGGTCCCACTCCACTTGTATTAAAAATGTTTTTAAAATAAAAATAAATAAAATTCTCCAATCAAGTTTACAACTTTGCCTTTACCTTTCTCCTTGGATTTCATTAACTAAGGCTTTGAATGTTTGTTAGGTATCTTTCATATTCCAAACCCTAATTCCCATCCCCTTTGTTTCCAACCCATTATTTCTTAGGCCTCGTCTTTGTCATATTTTTAAAAGAGGTCAATCCGTGACAGAAATAGAGGCTACTTATTAGACATTCTTAAGTGTTATTTTCAATAATATGAATCGATCTACTAAAAAAATATTGAAACCAGACAAATATGAATGAGTTATGAAATGTAAGACCAAACTTTAAATATTTTTTAAATATGTATTAGTTAATGGATTATAACATAAAATTAATATTATGTGGAAGTCTACGGTCACATTCCACTCGGTTAGTTTTCGGATCTGGCATTGACATCCTAAATTACTACCCACCTCTAAAGTAATCAAAATCATGAATCATGTATGTTGATTGTTAGAGGGTTTGAATCGAGTTCGTCGCCAATTCAGTCACTAACTACCTGAAAACCCAGCACAGCGACAACATTGAAGACCAAAGTGTGGGTCTTTTAGAGCCAGAAAGATGAGTCAGGGTCCACTTGCATGATAATGAGAGAACGTGGATGGTGTTCTTAGCCGCTCGAGGCTCTTTTCATGTTGGGTAGTTTGCACCATCAAAAGTTCCCACCGTCTTCCAGATTAAAAAATTTAAATTATTGCACTTTCTTTTCTGGGATTCGTTTTTATTGGTGGTGACATTCTCTCCTTGTTGTACTGTACTTGATGCACAGTAAATTCATTGAAGACCAACGTTCATCCAAACATCCCATGTCGTTTTATGCCATAGGGTAGGGCCGTTTCTTCTGCTTACACCACCCCATTTCTCCATCTGCTCTGTAATTTTGTTCAAGTTCCAGCTTTATGCGTGGACGAACAGGGGCCGTTTGAAAACAACAAAAATCTTCACGGCAGAAAGCTGCCTCTGCGACCTTGATCCTCGCTGACCTCTGTTCTGCATCTTTTTAGCTCTGTTTACGGTTGGTGACTACCTGAGTTCATGTTTTTTTTTTGAGTATTTCAGTCACTTTCTCTGTTCTGACTCTACTTTATCTCTGATTAGTGAATCTTTTCCCTCCGGATTCTTCCTTTCTCTCTCGATTTTTGAGTCTTCGTGATTTCTTCAAGCGTCAAAATCGACTGATATCACCTCTCATCAGCCGCTTCTCAGTTGCAGTCTTTTTGGCTTCAAGGGGTTCGGTTTTGGTTAATTAATTGTTGTTCTTTATCTGGAGCACGCTTTTTAAAAAAATTAGTTTCTACCCAGTTGATCAAGAATGTCGTTTTCATGTTCATCCGAATTTCTCATCGGAATCTAGAAAGTTTCAAGGTCTAAAGCTTAATCAGCACAAAATCTCGGGGGTGTAGTTTTTGGTTGAATTATTGACTCGGTGAGATATTTTTCCGCCGTTATCTCCACAATTCCGGCTCTGGGTGTTCAAAAAAACTTCGATTCTGAAGATTGATCATAAAAATTGTTCATCTTGCATTTTGTCTGCCATTGGGTTAATTTAAGCTTGCGGCGTGGTGTAGTGCGACTGTCAGTCGTTCGTACACAGGATAACGAGCCTTGGCGCGTGAACCTGATGAATTTTGCGGCAATTTTTGTGACGCGTCCTATTTCATTTCCGTACTTAATCTAATGGGTTGCATTTTTTCGAGGGTTTGTATTGGCGAGGAAACTACTTCAAGATCTTCGAGAATCGCTGAAGCCCAAATTGCCAAGACCGCCGCTGAAATCGATACGATCTCTTCTTCGTCTTCTAATAGCCGAGAAGGCGGAATCGGTGACCAACGAAATCGATTGAATTCAAACAACAGAGATTCAGAAGTTGAAATCACGAGGCTGTCGAGAGTTTCTTCTCAGTTCTTGCCCGCCGAGGGGTCTCGAACCATCAAAGTTCCTTCTGGAAACTTCAAATTACAATATTCGTTTCTTTCGCAAAGAGGGTATTATCCCGATGCCCTTGATAAGGCAAATCAAGACAGTTTTTGCATCCACACCCCATTTGGGAACAGTCCAGATGACCATTTCTTTGGGGTTTTCGATGGGCATGGGGAATTTGGAACACAGTGCTCGCAGTTTGTTAAACGGAAGCTCTGTGAAAATTTACTTAGGAATAGTAGGTTCCACAGTGACGCGGTTGAAGCTTGTCATGCGGCTTATTTAACAACTAATTCACAGTTGCACGCAGATATCTTGGATGATAGCATGAGTGGTACTACGGCTATTACTGTTTTAGTTAGAGGTAGGACTATATATGTTGCTAATTCAGGTGATTCGAGAGCCGTTATAGCAGAGCGGAGAGGGAAGGAAGTCGTGGCTGTCGACCTCTCAATCGATCAAACTCCGTTCCGAACCGACGAAGTTGAACGTGTTAAGCTTTGTGGTGCTAGAGTTCTTACACTTGATCAGATTGAGGGGCTGAAGAACCCTGAGATTCAGTACTGGGGTACTGAAGAAGGAGATGATGGTGATCCTCCTAGGCTTTGGGTACCTAATGGGATGTACCCTGGTACTGCTTTCACAAGAAGTATAGGCGACTCGATTGCCGAGACTATTGGCGTTGTTGCTACGCCTGAAATTGTTGTTCTGGAGCTGACACCAGATCATCCTTTCTTTGTTGTTGCTAGTGATGGGGTATTTGAGTTTCTTTCGAGCCAAACCGTGGTCGACATGGTAATGTACTCTATCATATGTTTAATGCACTCTTTAGTATGTTAGTGATGCTTGTGCTGCAATTGTGGCTGTTATCTTCACAGGTTTCTAAATATAAAGATCCCCGTGATGCTTGTGCTGCAATTGTGGCTGAGTCCTATAAACTTTGGCTTCAATTTGAGACTCGAACAGATGATATCACTGTTATCGTGGTGCATATCAATGGACTAACCAATGTACGAGGACTTTCCTTATCTTTCTGCCATTCAAGTCACTATAGTTTTAGTTATATTTGTTATGTTTTGTTTTTGTTAGACTGTTACTAGTGAATCGACAAGATCTGTTGGAGGTGGTATCGTTCCATCTGCTCTTCCTCAAGTCGTGGAGGTGACAGGATCAGAATCTCCTTCTACCTTTGGCTGGAATAGAAACAACCGTGCAAGGCAAGATTTGTCAAGGGCACGTCTCCGGGCTATCGAGAGTTCCCTAGAGAACGGGCAAGTCTGGGTGCCTCCATCTCCAGCTCATAGGAAGTCGTGGGAAGAAGAAGTAAGCTCGTGTCTTGCTTTTAATATATCTTGGTTATCTAAGAAAATTGGTACATATTTGTTTCATTGCTGAGTTTTTGGCTTCATACTCCACAGGCACATATTGAACGAGCATTGCACGACCATTTCCTCTTCAGAAAACTAACTGATTCTCAGTGCCAAGTCTTACTAGATTGTATGCAAAGAGTTGATGTCATACCCGGGCAAATCGTAGTCGAACAAGTATCTTTCCTTCTTTATTTCTTGTTTTCTTCCCTTGTCATGAAAGCCATCTGCTACCTTAAATCAAATACATTCATGCAAATGAGAATTTGAGTATGCGCATGGGTTGAAGATGCTAATTATTTGGTATGTGCATGGGCTGTGTTGGTTTGTAGGGTGGTGAAGGTGACTGTTTTTATGTGGTTGGCAGTGGAGAATTTGAGGTCTTGGCAACCCAGGTGCATATCACTTTTCTTTCTCCTAATCTATTATATTGCAATTTCTTGAGGCTTTATGTTGACTTAATGCTATCATCGCAATTACAGGAAGAAAGCCATGGAGACGTTCCTCGAATTCTGCAACACTACACAGCTGAGAAGCTATCTTCCTTCGGGGAACTGGCTTTGATGTGGGTTTTCTCTTGTTAACTGCAGCTCCATGTTTGATCATGTATGGCTTATACTTCATTTGTTTAATAGTTTGGTTTGTGTATAATGTATCTACAGGTATAACAAACCACTTCAAGCCTCAGTACGTGCTGTTACAAGCGGGACGCTTTGGGCTTTGAAAAGAGAGGACTTTCGTGGCATTCTTATATCAGAATTTTCGAACTTGTCATCTTTGAAATCTCTTCGATCTGTCGACCTTTTGTCGAAGTTAACAATCTTGCAATTGAGTCGCATTGCAGATTGCCTTTCTGAAGTTACCTTCGCAGATGGGCAGCTGATTGTTGATGGGGTAACCTTATTTTATAATAGCACACAACTGATGTGAGATCCTAATTGGTTGGTGAGGGAACAAACCTCTCTCTAGTAGACGCGTTTTAAAATCTTGAATGGAAGCTCGCAAAGGAAAGCTCAGAGAGGACAATATCTGCTAATAGTGGGCTTGGGCGGTTACAATTGACATTTACAACTCTTCAAGTAATTTTTCTTTTTTTGCAGACGGAAGACGCCTCATGTGCACTGCACATTATTCAGAAGGGACGAGTGAGGATCACTTTCGATGCGGAGTTAATGAGCAGTTCAAATGTTTACAGCTTCAATTATGCCAGTCAAGAAGAGGACGATGCCGCACGGAGTGGTAACGAGATCGTAGCTATTAAGAAAGAGGGAAGTTATTTTGGTGAATGGGGACTTCTTGGTGAGCATGTGGGCTTCTTACAGGCAGTTGCTGTGGGAGATGTTGTGTGTTCTATTTTAACAAAGGAAAAGTTTGAATCAGTTGTTGGCCCTTTACCAAAGCTCTCTCAAGATGATCAAAAGTATATTGCATTTGCTTTTGAGTTGTATGGCCACACTTTTACCATATTTTTCCTTATGTCATATCCTACCCTGTACACATCGTTTGCCTTCATGTAGGGCGAAGGAACATTCTTCAGACACTCTCCATCACTCAGACAAAATTCTTGACATTTCAGCTATTCCGAAAGTCGAGCTCGCTGATCTGGTGAGCAGACATTTTGCTGTTCGTGGTTATGTTACTCTTTTCCAGAATCTGACACCTTTTGTTATCTTCTTTGATTGTTTTTGTTTTGAGGAGTGGAAAACGTGTTTATATTCCACAGAATACAGTGAAATCGGTCTAGTTCGGTTAAGGAACACAGGTTATCTTGTAGTATCTCCTCTTTATAATGGCTATGAATAATTTTCTTCTTTGATGGCTACTTCTCAAGCTTATGGAACTGCCTTGTTGAATTTGAATTTGAAGCAGAAACTACGCTTAGTTTAAAAAGGTTTACAAGACAGAAGGTCAAAAGGCTGGGACTTGAAGCACAAGTTTCAAAGGAGAAAGATCTTATGAAGAGCATCAGTTCTTTAGCTTGTGTGCCGCAAATTCTCTGCACTTGTTTAGACCAATCACATGCTGGCATATTGCTAAAAACACGCCTTGCTTGTTCTTTGTCTTCGATACTTCAAGTCCCGCTCGATGAATCTTCTGCACGTTTCTTCGCAGCCTCTCTTGTTATGGCACTAGAAGATTTGCACAAGGTTTGATTCTATGGACTTGTTGTTGATCCTCTGTTCTTCTTCAATCCTGAATTAATCTCCGTCAGTTATATCCTTTCTTTGTTTGAATTTTCAGCTTGGTGTTCTCCACAGAGGAATCTCCCCTGATGTTCTAATGTTGAATCAAACCGGACACATACAGGTCTATTTTCCTACATGATAACAGTTTTCAAGGTCTCTGTCAGTAAATTTTTTGTATTCCTCTTATTGCAGTTAGTAGACTTCAGATATGGGAAACGAACAACGGGCGAGAGAACGTATACTATTTGCGGGGCGGCCGACTTTTTAGCTCCCGAGATAGTTCAGGGCAATGGCCATGGTTTCGCTGCTGACTGGTAGACACTAAACCTCCCAATGCTTACATAATCATAAACGAGACAATATTCAGGCACTTCAACTTACAACTCCCTATCATAAACGCTCAGGTGGGCCCTGGGAGTCTTAATCTATTTCATGCTGAAAGGTAAAATGCCATTCGGATCATGGCGACAAGGCGAGCTCGATACGTTTTCGAAGATTGCAAGAGGACAATTAAGTGTTCCCCAGATTTTCAGTCATGAAGCAATTGATCTCATCGTCAAGGTAATGCAATGCTACTAGTGATCAATAATCTCCTCTATCCTCTCCATTCCCACCTTTAATTACCCACCATATATATACGTACTTTGATCAGTTACTTGAAGTTGATGAGAAGAAAAGACTTGGAAACGAGAATCAAAACTCTGTTAGAAGTCATCCCTGGTTCGATGGCATTGATTGGAAGGGAATCCACGACGGTACCTTTCCCATTCCCGAGTCAATTACTTCTCGTGTCGCTCGATATTTGGAGAGCTACCCTGAAGATTACAGTGTTTCTTTAGTCAAACCAACTCGAGATCGTGATGAACAGGATGACCCCGAGTGGATCAACGACTGGTAGAGTGTATCGATCGGTTCCAGTTGTTTTCTTTCATAATTCGAGAAATTGTTCGACATAAGTTCATGTGTTTTATCTAATAAATTCTTTATAAACTCGTTGAAGACATAAATATTAAACATTAATGAAAAAATAAAAAAAATAATAATAATAAAGATGAGTGGCTGATATGTAAAGATGGAGAAGATCGGTAGACACGAAATCAAGGCTCTCCAAACTGTCCGGGAGTAACAGCAAAACAAAGCTTGTGAGTTTCGACATGTCGGAACATCCACAGAGTGACATACAGGCCAGGCTCTGTCAAATTATTGGTCTTGTAAAAATCATTCCAGCCTTTGGTGAGGACGTATAGCTTAGAAGCCCAGAGTTTGAACTGCATATCGTATTGTCTCCCTTCACCATTATAAACTGTAACATCAATTCCCTCGCTCGGATCCTCATCCGCATTGAACATTGGTAACAAATGGTTCGTCACAAATTCCTTCCGTACTATCAATCTCCCTTGCCCTTCCGACACGTCGCTTTTCGTCAACCGCTTCTCCCACGGCGGGCTACGTGCTCCAATTATGTTCATAATAACCGCCAACGCCGGAATCACCACTGGAGCTACTACCTCTACTACTTCCTCCACTTCCACCGCCACGTCTTCATCGCCGTTGATGGATGGAGCTTCGTTTTCGTCATCCATGTCGCCGGAAGTTGAACCTGAAACTTGTTCATCGGAAGTATACGACGGCTCGGGAAATTGCTCGCCTGTACATAAGCAGTGAAAAATCATAGCTGTTTCGTACACGTCCTTTTCTACTATTCTGTTATTATGGCGGTAATGTACCCTAACCATACTAAAATTGAAGGAAGGGAAAAGAATGGTTTATTGAAACAAAAGGAAGTAGTACGAGAACGATGTAATGCAGCCCATTTATATAATGCTGCATCATTAAAAGATAAATTGAATCTTTACATTTCAAATTTACATTTCAAATTTAATCAAAGATAGAGATATATTTTAATCAATATAAATGAAACCAAACGATAATAAATTGGATATTTATATATTTAATTTGGAAGAGCAAAATAACCAAATATTATAAATTAAAATGTTATAGGGAAATCGTTTATTTAAAAATACCAAATTTTCGCCTTTTATCTTTTAAAATTTTAATTTATCAACTTGTATTTTTAAATATAGATAAGTTTCAACAATTAAAATATTTATCTCTGAATAGATTTTTTTTTTCAAAAGATACAAAATTTGTAAAAGTAAATATTCTCATATGCATTTACTAAATAATTATAATACATAATGTATAGTACAAAATTAATAAAATTTCGTGATATTCATTTTTTTATTATTACTTTTTTAAATTTGTGAGTTTTGGTTATGTTATTAAATAGTTATTTTATGCTTTAATTAAATTTATTTTTGTATAATATTTCATTTTATTAAATTAATAAATTTACAAAAAAAATTTGAGAGAAAATTGAACCAAGTCTAAGATTTAATCCGATGAAATTTTGATATAATATGATAAATGTCACATTTTTTTTCTTTTTTTTTTTTTTTTTTTGGATTCGAATTTAACTATTTCCAAAAAAATGTGACTATATTAGATAGTTTTTTTAAGGAAGAAAAATGATAAGACAACATTAATATTATAGTACATGTTAAAATCACTGGCTTAGTTGATTAGCAAAAAAACAAGTAATCATTAATAAAGAATATAATATATTGTCACAAGAAAGAAGGTAAGATTTTTATACTATAATCAAAATAATTATTGAAACCTACTATTGAGAGCTTTAGAGTTATTTTTAAGTGACTAAAAATGTTTTAAAATAATTAGTAAGACATTTCATATGGGCTCTAAAGTATTTATGAAATTGCACCCTTAAATTTATGTGAATTTAACCCATACTCAAATTTTAAAATTTGATCCCATAAATATATAAATTTCATATTTTATGTATAATAAATCATTGATTAAAATACTACAATTTTATATTATACGTTAAATTGAAAGTTTTGAATTACAATAGCCATAAAATTATTTTTATATCTAATACATAAAATAAAAAAAAAACTATAGTTTAAAATTAAATGTTTAAAATTTTATTAAATATTCTAATATTTAAGAAATTTTTAGTACAACAAAAAAATCAAAACATTTACATGCAAAACCCTAACCCTAATTATTGCCTCCATTAATTTTGTCTCATTCTTTTAAATTTGACCCATATTTGGCACGACACCACCGAATCATCTCTGTGCTCTACATTTCACTGCCATTGTTAAGTTGTTTGTTTCTTGTAAGCGCATGCAAAGATCTGAAGAGAATTTTGTAACCTAAAATATGATCCAGATCGGGTTCTCCATAATGGTATGATATTGTCCACTCTAAGCATAAACTCTCATGTCTTTGTTTTGAGCTCCCAAATACCTCACTCTAATGAAGAAAGTATTCTTTGATTATAGACCCACGATTATTTCCTATATTAGCCGATGTAGGACTTTCATCATCCAACACCTCCCCTCCAACAAAGCACGCCTGCGACTTCTTTTGGAGTCTTAATCATTTTTTACTATGCCTTCGAGGAGGCTCGATTTCTCCTTTTATTTTGGAGTCCTTTGTTCAACATTTGAGAATATGTCAATCTATTGGCACGACAAAGTTTAAGGCATGATTCTGATACTATGTTAGATGAACACGACTCTCCACAATGGTATAATTTGTCACTTTGAGCATATGCACTCATGACTTTGATTTGTGCTCCTCCAAAATGTCTCACCTTCAATAGAGAGAGTATTCTTTGATTATAAACTCATAATCATTCCTAAATTAGTCGATATGAGACTTTCAACAATCTGTTCGTCATTCGAAGGAGTTGCTGGGCTGAAACTGGACACCCATAATCGCCAGAGCGGGAGGAGCGTCCTCCAAAGAGAGCAATGGCATCTTCGCCATAGAAGACGCTAATAATTTAATTTTTTTTTTTTTTTCATTTTAATTCAAAGTCCAGTCAGATAATTTATGTAGGTATTACAAACTAAAGACAGTTGGATAAGTATATAGCTTATTTATTTATTTATTTTTCTGTGACAGCATTAGAACACAGATAATTCAGGACTAGACAACATTATCCTCTAATTAATTATCTTCCTATCTCTAGGTGAATGTCTTTCCAATTCTACCCTTAATTATGGTCCCTCCATTTTGGTTATTCAGTCAACGTGGAAAACTCCTTCAATGGATAACATCGATTTTTTTTCCATCACAAAAATAAATATAATATAATATACGTTTATCCACATGGATTAATGTTAATTATTTAATATTATAAATGTAGAACGACATTCAATTTTATATTTTTATTTGCGATTTTAAAACTTTTATTTTAGTTTAAGATTACAAGTCAACTACACACAAAATACTGATTTATTCCCACACGAAGAAAGGTCAATGATGGTTTAATTTATGTAACATGTCGAGGATTGTTGGGAGGGAATCTCACATTGACTAATTTAAAAGATGATCATGAGTTTATAAGTAAAGAATACGTCTCCATAGTGGAGACGTTCAAAGCAAAGTCACGAGAGCTTATGTTTAAAGTATGGACAATATCATACTATAAAAATTTGTGTCTAAGGCATTTTGAAACTATATCTATGAAATTGAACCAATTATGAAAAAAAAAAAAAAAAAAACAAATATGAGAGAAATAATAAAATTGGATTAATTGTTTAATTTTCCCTGAAATTTAGCGCCCAATTAGGGAAAAAAAGTGGACATTTTGGTAAAACAGCTCGTCAGTTTCAGTGGTTGTTGCAAAAGCACAGCTGGGTTGATTGTGAGGTTTGTTCACTGTATTCCATCCCCAAAAATCTTTCCTCTATAAATAGGATGAGAAGAGTAAAGAATTTTCATAATTAAAAATTAAACTTATTCAATGGCTGTCGTGGGCCCATCGTCTCTTCTAATCCCCGTTTCTTCTCTATAATTATCCTTAATCCCAATTGTTAGCATCCCACATCGTCTTTTCATATTTCAGGACAAACACACAGAAGCTTCACAAACAGAAATGGCGGGCGGAGCATTTACTGATGCGGCGTCGTTGAAAAGGGCTCATCTTTATGAGTATCGGATCACTGGCTACTTCCTTACTGCTTGCTTTGTGGCTGCCCTTGGCGGCGCCCTGTTTGGCTATGATCTTGGAGTTTCTGGTATGTTATGTTATGTTATCCACTTTGGACTCCTTTACTGGGATTGTTTGTGTACTCTGTTTTTGAAAACAGAACTCTTCCCAGTTCAGTGATGGGGAAACTTGATGACTTCGTGTTCTGAAAATTTCAGGTGGGGTGACTTCCATGGATGATTTTCTGAAGGATTTCTTCCCAAATGTATACAAAAGAAAGCACCTTCATCTCACAGAAACAGATTACTGTAAATATGACAACCAAATTCTCACACTTTTCACATCCTCTTTGTACTTTGCTGGTTTGATCTCCACTTTTGGAGCTTCCTATGTGACAAGAAAACGAGGCCGAAGAGCCAGCATCCTCGTTGGATCTGTCAGCTTCTTCTTAGGCGGCGTCATCAATGCTGCTTCAATCAACATCTCAATGCTCATCATTGGCCGGATTTTCCTCGGCATCGGCATCGGTTTCGGAAACCAAGTAAGCACCCTCCAAAATCATGAGAGCTTATGCTTAAAGTGGAGTCGTGATTCCTAATATTGTACTCTTTCCAGGCAGTGCCATTGTATCTATCTGAAATAGCCCCGGCGAAGATCCGAGGAGCGGTTAACCAACTGTTTCAATTGACAACATGCTTGGGGATTGTGATTGCAAATTTCATAAACTATGGAACTGAAAAGATTCATCCATGGGGGTGGAGGCTGTCTCTTGGATTGGCCACAGTCCCAGCATCTTTGATGTTCATTGGCGGACTTTTCCTTCCTGAGACACCCAACAGTCTGGTGGAGCAGGGAAGAATGGAGGAGGGAAGAGCTGTGCTTGAGAAAATCAGAGGGACGAAGAATGTCGACGCCGAGTTTGACGATCTTGTCGACGCAAGCAATGAGGCACGCGCCATAAAACACCCTTTCAAGAACCTCTTGAAGCGAAAAAACCGACCCCAATTGGTGATTGGAGCATTGGGAATCCCCGCATTCCAGCAGCTCACTGGCATGAACTCCATTCTGTTCTATGCTCCTGTCATGTTCCAGAGTTTGGGATTTGGCTCTGATGCAGCCCTGTATTCATCTACCATCACAAGCGTTGCGCTTGTTGTGGCTGCTTTAATTTCAATGTTTTTGGTGGATAAGTTTGGGAGAAGAGCTTTCTTTCTCGAAGCAGGTGCTGAAATGATATGTTGCCTAGTAAGTTCGCTTCATTTTAACATGATATCAATACAGTAAATGAGTGTCGTAGCTAACGATGTTGTGCGTGCAGATAGCAGTGGCTGTGACACTAGCGATATTGTTTGGACAAGGGAAGGAGCTTCCAAAGCTGGTAGGGATCTTCCTTGTTATAGTGATCTGCATATTTGTGTTGGCTTATGGAAGGTCATGGGGGCCGCTGGGTTGGTTGGTGCCGAGCGAGCTGTTCCCACTGGAGACGAGATCGGCAGGGCAGAGCATGGTGGTGTGTGTCAACATGCTTTTCACGGCTTTGATAGCGCAGTGTTTCCTGGCAGCTATGTGCCATCTCCGGTATGGGATCTTCCTGTTGTTCGCGGGGTTGATTATGATAATGAGCAGCTTCATCTTCTTCCTGTTGCCGGAGACCAAACAGGTTCCTATTGAAGAAGTGTATCTGCTGTGGCAGAATCACTGGTTTTGGAAGAGATTTGTTGCAGAAGAAGGTGGAAATGGAGTGAAGGGGAATGTTAAAGGAGCTGGAAATGCGTAGATTGCGTATTAAATTACTATTCTGTGTTGGTTAATTTCTTAGAGCAAATCAAACAAATTCGACCGAGCTCACTGTAAACAGATATTGTAAAACGGTTGTAGTGGGTTTTATGAGAAATATTTAGTGAATTTGATGATTAGAAAAGGGAAAAGGTACCATTTTCTTAAAAAGTTCCAAATGAGCTTGATTTAGTGGATACTTGAGGATGATGATCCGAGCTCAGCCCCACCACATGTGTTCTGTAAAAGCCATGCAATGATTGTTGCTTCAATGGCACAGAAATTGGCAGGCCAGCCCACCCACCCACTTTCCGCCATTACCGAACTCGTAAGATTGTCCTAATTTAGAATCCCTTTCTTTCCATTTTCTGGGTTCACTTCGTTTTTGTTTTCTCAATTCGTCATCATCCACACGAGATTCTCCTTCAAAACTTGTCAGACCTACTTTTTCACGATTAAAAAGCGCAGATTCTTGTGATCTTTCTTTCCTGATTATGATCGCAAGTTCATAATCGACGGGGAGAGATGTTTTTAGGAATCAAATAATGTTCGTTTCAAATCAATCCCAAGGAACTACCAACGACATTATAGCATTAAAAAGGTTGATGATCAAACAGGGGAATTGGGCTTGAATTAAGCTGTTACTGTAACTGGGCCTAGTCTCGAACTTGGGCTTGAATTAAGCTGTTATTGTTACTGGGCCTAGTTCGTCTTGAACTTGGGCTTGAATTAACCTGTTTTTGTAACTGGGCCTATTCTCGAACTTGGGCTATTCAGAACCAGGCCTAATCTCTCTTGTATTAGGCTCATGAAATTCTTTTATACCTATTAAAATCATTTTTATTTAAAATTAATTTGTCATTATCCTATTGGAAGAATTGTGTGTTTGAACGTATTTTTCGTAATTATGGAAATTTTTGAATCAAGTTGCCTGGTTTATTTTATTATATATAAAAAAAGAAATTGTTTAATTTAATTTTAATTTTAATTGTATTTTATCCATTCAATAGTGGATTTCAATTTGTCGTGACGTCAATTATTCAATTCGAGGCCATGGACCAGTTTGACAAGTTACTGAACTTTTATAAGCTTGCAATTATTGCTCTACGTAAACCTAAAATTTATTTTTTATTATTTAAGAAATGTGGGCTCCATTTTTAATATCAATTACTTTTGTACTGCAACTGCAACCTTTTTGCTTCAAATCGCCATTGCCGGGAGCGGAGGGAGAAATGTAATGAGGAACATTGGAACTAAAGGTTGTATCTCTAGGGCTTGAAGACGACCGCAAACAGAAGCTTTCTTGAAGCTCAATTATTCAGCTTTCCACTCCATCTTCTTCGAGCAAGGTCAGTAAAGAAAGATTAACTTCGACTTCAGCGCTTTTCTTTACTTTTAGGATCCAAATGTTCCTACTTCGACTTCATCTTCTTCGAATTTTTCAACTTCTCTTTAGCTGAGTTCAGATTCGTTTACAGATTCACTCCTATTAACTAAACAGAAATGGTTCTGGATTCAATCTCTTATTTTCCTTTTTAAGGTAATGAATCCCATCTTCTCCACTTCACTTCAGAAGCTAAAGCAATTTTGTTTTTGTTTTTGCAAGATTATGATAATTCTACTATTTCCTAATTGTAGGTTGTGAATTTCATTAGCTATCATCGTTTGTGTTCTCATTGAATTGCCTGTTATGGAGTATCTGTTACCTCTCTGCAAGCTATGTCACATTGAAACTCGAAGATGGTTTCTTGTGATGGGAGTAGTGGCTTTTACTTATGTACTATTTCAATCTCTTTTACTTCCCTATGGGGATGCTCTTCGGTCTCTACTTCCTGAGGATGGTATTAAAAAATTTGATCAATATAGCATTCAGATGGGGCATACTTCAGCCAAATCAACAACGGTTCGCAACCCTCTTACGGTTCTGGATTTGGCTAATACTTCAGCTCCCATTGGGAAAACTGATAATTATATTCTTGAGAAAGGATCTCAACGTGATAGCACGCTGAATGCCAGAGGGAAGTATGTAAAAGATGAGGAAAGCCCTAGAGATGGTTACAAACTGTCTCTTAATAGAAATCATGATATTGGTTTTGAATCTGGAAAGATGGTTGATACAAATGGTAATTTGGAATCAGATGGCACTAAGAATCGTGGAAATAATTCTATTCTTCACATGGATGGCGAAGCAAGTTTTGAGTTCCCCTTGGGGCAGCAGTTTGTGAAACAAAGTGATACGGTCGCTTCAGAGAATGAGTTAGAAGAATTTGGCGAAATGGATTTGGATTTTGGTGAGTTAGAAGAATTTAAAAACTCATTATTACGAAAGCCTGGTGATACAGATGTGACTTTCAATTCTTCGACCTTCATGCTACAGATCCCAACTTCACCAGTTAACACACCTCATTCACAGCACTTGATATCAAATATAAGCTCGCCAGTCTCCGAAACTAATTCCAAAAGCATAGGTAAAAGGAAGAAGATGAAGAATGAAATGCCACCAAAGTCAGTAACTTCACTAGAAGAGATGAACAGCATTTTATTGCGTCACCGCAGGTCATCACGAGCGATGGTATGTGCGTTTGAGTTAGTTTTAAGTTATTGGTTTGATGATCATATATGGTGCTAGGTTTAACCATGTTCTGTTTCATGTAGAGACCAAGGAGATCGTCTTTGCGTGATCTGGAAATTTTTTCTGCCAAGTCCCAGATTGAGCAAGCTTCTGCCATAAATGACCCTGAACTATACACTCCTTTGTTTCGTAATGTTTCAATGTTTAAAAGGTAAAGCCAACCTAGTATTCTATTGCATTATTCACATTGTTAAATAGCATTTCCATGTACATCCATGGTCCTTGCGTTTTGGTGGGTTGGTATTAAAGAAAATGAGTTGGAAAATACAATCCCGTGGGATTTTCGCTATCTTTTTAAAAATGATTATAAGGATGCCTCTTTTTTTTTGTTGCCTCATTGTTCTGATCTTCATCAAATTGTGCCATTAGGTTTGGTGGAATTTATACATGTGGCACACATTTCGAGCCTCATGTGTTAGTTTTGTTCAATTAACAACCAAAACTTAATTCATGGGCTGAAAGAGGCAAAAAATAAACCAAAGATTCCTTAAAACTATATTTAACGCTTGTATATTTTGCAATCCACCAAGTATACTTATGCCTTCTGGATTCCACGCTTTCAGACACTGCCGTTCTTTCCATTCATGATTGGAAACAATGTTCTGCCATATTCATAACATTAATGTAAAAAGACAAGTGTTAAGTTGAACAGAATAATTATTTAAAAAATAAAGTACACAGTGGCATATTCCCTTCAAATCTAAATAATTTGTATCATATAAGTATATATCTTTATGTTTCTTATTAAAAAAAATAATTTGTATCATATCTAAAATTTAGATAGAATACAATATGAGTCTGCTGAAAAATAGTGCACACAATTGGTTTACTGTGCTGATTTATTGCTTGCTAAGTTACCTGATCATATGGCTGCTTGCGTTTTTCCTATATTTTCAAATCTAATAGTAGTTTTGACCAAAAATAGGAAGTCAATGACGCAGTTGTGTAGGTCCAATTCAAACCTTTTCCCTGTGATTTCAGGAGTTATGAACTCATGGAGCGCACACTCAAAATCTATGTCTATAGGGATGGAAAGAAGCCCATCTTTCATCAACCAATAATGAAGGGGTTATATGCCTCAGAAGGATGGTTTATGAAACTGATGGAGAGAAACAAGCATTTTGTTGTTAAGGATCCTCGAAAGGCTCACCTGTTTTATATGCCGTTTAGTTCTCGGATGTTGGAGTACACACTCTACGTGCGGAATTCTCATAACAGGACAAATTTACGTCAGTTTTTGAAGGAATACTCTGAAAGTATTGCAGCCAAATATCCTTACTGGAACAGAACTGGTGGAGCAGATCATTTTCTTGTTGCATGCCATGATTGGGTACATTCAATGAAACTGTTGATCTTTTAACATCTTTCTTTCTTTCTTTCAATTTCTAATCAAACTTGGACTGCATTTAGATAAGTGGTCGTAAGTTGTAGAAAAATAAGCGTGTTTGATGACCTGCATTTGCATATGAATTCACCAAGTCACTCCAGTAACAGATGATGCAATTGCTCTGGTCATTTGAATTAATGGTCAAATGGAAATCATTTTGTGCTGATTTTTCATCAGCTTATTTTAACCTAGTTAGATTGTTACTTCTCATCATATAGATCATATGAAGTACCTCTGTTGACACACGAGATTAAGCAATACGCTAAAGTTAACTTAATGTCTTGGACTCTTATAGGCTCCTTATGAAACAAGGCACCACATGGAGCAGTGCATAAAAGCACTTTGCAATGCTGATGTAACCGTTGGATTCAAAATTGGGAGAGACGTGTCTCTTCCAGAAACTTATGTACGATCTGCGAGGAATCCTCTTAGAGATCTTGGAGGAAAACCTGCATCACAGAGGCACATTCTTGCCTTTTATGCTGGAAATATGCACGGTTATGTACGTCCAATCCTACTGAAGTACTGGAAAGACAAAAACCCTGATATGAAGATCTTTGGTCCAATGCCTCCTGGTGTTGCAAGCAAAATGAATTACATTCAGCATATGAAGAGCAGCAAATACTGTATCTGTCCAAAGGGTTACGAGGTCAATAGTCCCCGAGTCGTGGAAGCCATCTTTTACGAGTGTGTACCTGTGATCATATCAGACAATTTTGTGCCACCATTTTTTGAGGTGTTGGATTGGGAAGCGTTCTCAGTGATTGTTGCAGAAAAGGACATTCCCCACCTACAAGACATACTGCTTTCGATACCAAAAGACAGATATCTCGAGATGCAACTCCGAGTCAGGAAAGTACAGAAGCACTTCCTCTGGCATGCCAAGCCCTTGAAGTATGACCTGTTCCACATGACCCTCCATTCGATCTGGTATAATAGAGTTTTCCAGATAAAACTCAGATAACATTGTTGAAAGTGCCTCATTGAAGATTCAGAGGAAATCCATGGAACTGTTAAATAACTTCACAGAACAGAGTAACTCACCTTCTCTGCCTTCGCAGCTTCTCTCTGGAAAAGATTTCTTTCAACCTCAGGGGGTATCATGTGAAGGACCTTGAGAATGGATTGCAACTGTGGCAGTATCCTTGTATATACAATGCTTTATCCTTGTTCCACTTCTGTATAGTAGACTAATGAAACAAAACTACGATTATTTGTCAATTTTGCAGTAGAAACTGTGATTTCGTTTGCCCCAACCTCTTGTTGTGAGACTCGTGATTTCAAATCATACCGCCCCGCCGTGCATCGCTGTTCGTCAACATAGTAAGCCATTTCCAGGACCACAATGGAAGGTATTACTCTTTCTTTCGGTCATCATCCACATACATCCAAAGCAATAAATGTTTTCACTCGCTGGGTCCATCCAGTCCTTCAACTTGAAGAGCCCCACCTTCAAAAACCGTATTCTCAGGGATCGGAATCTGATACCTATGCCATATATCATATCTATATGGCGCCACAACATGAAGCTTCCTATGAAAAACAGAGGCAATGTGCAATGGCTGGTGTTAATGATCTTGGTAGGTTACTATCAATAAAGGGACCCTGATAATCAGATATTTAAGATCTCCTAGAGGGTCTACTTCACTGTTGAGAGTGCAGATGATCATGGAGAGGTACCCAAAAGAAACTAGAACCAAAATGTAAGTGATTCTGGCCCCCACTGAACTGAGTGATGTTTACTAACAAAATGGTAACATTTCTTTTCCCCTCTCTTTTTTGGGGGTGGATGGTGCAAAATTAGAGAATTTTCACTTTGTAATGAGTGGGTGAAAGCATAGCTCCTCCCTTCTGGGTCCTTCCTAGCTCTTTGTCTTCAATACCCATCACTTATTTTCTTTTCTTCTCTCAACTCCAATAACCACAATAAATTTTGACAGATTTTGAAGGTGTCCCCATGGCATTAAAAGATGAGAAATTTGCCAGGCTACCAGGATGAAGTCTCAGCCCCATATCCCACCATTATTGAAGGAGGAGGGGGGGAAGTGAATTTCAATTCCAATCAAACTCGTTTACTTTGTTATCAATGATTCTTATCAAAATCTTTCTCAATCTTTTCCTTAAACCACCAAGGACCAAATCTAAGCTGCAGCTTTTGCAAAACATTTGGCAGCTACATAAATAACCTCAGTTCAAAACATCTCTGTCTGTCCGTAGCTTTCTGTTTTTAAATAAATAATTTCTTTCATAAGTTATAAGTTCATGTTAAAATAAAATAAACAATATCATTATCAATCCTTGTTCGTTTAGTTAGTGATCACTGAAGAAAGCGAAAAGGAAAGGGTAAAAAGACTTCGAAGAACAAATTCAACACTATCAAAATCAGTAATAAACTTGTTCGTTAAAACAACGAAAAGTTTGGATTTTTTTCAAAATAAAAAATAAAAAATATCGTGAGCATGGAGGACACATGGATTTCCATGTGATGGAGATAGAAACATCAAGAACTTGGATTAAAAAAAATATATTTGTTTAACTTGGAAAAAAAAAAAAAAAAAAAAAAA